TATTGATCAGATCAAAGCCAGGCTGAAGCAGGCATTTTCGGCACACAGAAAGCTGACCATGGTCAGGTGGACCGGTGAACGTGTGGACATCTATCCGAACAAAATCAGGCGGCTTGTTGGATTGGCTGGATTCGAGGGAGCCGAGATGGAAAGGCTCACCAAACTAGCCTTCGTCATGGGGTTCCCTGATACAATCTCCTTTGAACTCCAACAGGCACTGAATGTTGAAGCTATGACTGTAGGGGAGTTATTAGCAAGAGCGAGAATGCTGACTGGAGATGAAAGTAAGGACGTATTTGCGGCTGTGCGCCCACCCTGTAGTGACAGCGTGTCTCCCACCAAGAATGGCCCACTCACCAGTGTGACATGCTTCAGATGCAGTGGCAAAGGCCACATAGCAAAAGACTGCCGGAAGCGCAGAACACGCTGCTATCGATGCGGGGAGGTTGGACACTGGGCCCGAGACTGTTCGGGAAATGCTACAGGAGGACAAGACATCAGTGCCAGCCTTTTCCCCAACCAAGATGTAAATACGGCACTCCTGGTGGCAAACATCCTTGTTGATGAAACTTGTTGTTCAGCGCTGATTGATACTGGCTGTTCACGGACAACTGTGGATGTGGATCAGTGCCGGTCTTGAAATAGAGTGACGGTGGACATCATGACTACTGGAGGCATGTCCCGTCCATGTTGTGGTGTAGGAGTGGTAACTGTATCCACGGAGGAAGGCAGTTCTGCCAAGATCAACGCGTTGGTGGTGTGTAGTAAACCACTGGGATTTGACCTGCTATTGGGGATTGATGCCATAACAGCATTGGGAGGCGTTGCTGTTGGGCCAACGGGACGAGTACAGATTGGCAATGGGCAAACAGCCAAGTGTGCAGCCATTACTGTGGACGAACCCGACTTCACTGCCACCTTCGACCATCAGAGGCGATCCTGGACTGTGGCATGGAAGTGATCAGGGAGGGCTATGAGCAGGAGCTCCACATGTGGATCAGCAATGGCTGACTCGTGCCGTACCCAGAAGAAAGACTGCGGCCTCCCAAAGGGCTAATTCCCCTGATGGCTGTACTACAGCAGAACAAGTCTGAAGTATGTCCAGTGATGGACTTCCAGGAGCTCAACCATCAAGTTGACGCTTTCACAGCTGATGCAGATGTCTGTGCAGCTAAAATGTGTGATTGGCAGCAGAAGGGACCCAACGTGTCCTTGTTGGATCTCAGGAGAGTGTACCTCCAAATACGTGTCCATGAGTCACTCTGGCCATACCAGACCATGAAAATTGATGGGAAAAGGTATTGCCTGACATGTTTAGGATTTGGATTAAACGTGGCTCCCCTCATCATGAAGGCGATCATTAGCATGGTGCTGGCTCTGGAAGAAACTGTGGATCGCGTAGCATCTGCCTACATTGATGACATCTATATCAATGAAGATGTCGTTCCTGCGACCTGCATTAAAGAACATCTGGCCCAGTTTGGGCTGGAATGCAAGGACCCAGAACGGTTGGAGAATGGTGCACGGGTACTAGGAATGGCGGTCGCGATGGAACAAGGTAGATTGCGGTGGAGACGAGGAAGGGTGGTTCCTAATGCCCCCGGTGTTGTTACATGACAGAAAGTGTTCTGTGTGGAAGGCTTGTTGGGCACCTCCCAGTGTGTGGTTGGCTCCGTGTGGCATGTGGAATGCTCAAGAGAAGAGCAAGTTCAGTTATGAAGGGCTGGGATGATGAAACAAAGGATGCCCTCCTCCAGGGCATGGTGTCTGAGAACGTGGTACTGCAGCGATGGTTTGACACAATGAAGAGAAGCAATGGATTCAGGCCACGGATTGGCGCCACCCATGTGGACGAACTGGATGCAGACCAAATCATGTCCATCCATCCGTCCACAGGAACAGTGCTGCACTACCTACTTCACCAGGAGAGTCTGCCTGTCAATGACAAAGGCAGCCGTTAGATCAGCTATATGGACGTATGAAGAATGTCAGTCTATAGACCTCGCACCAACTCACTGGCAAAAAGGAAAGCTTGAGGTAAGTGGAAACTGGCAGAGACTAGGGATCGATATCACCCACTATGGTGCCCATCATTTCTTAACGCTGACCGACTGCGGCCCGTGGCGTTTTTCAATCTGGAAGCAGTTGGCGAGACAGGACTCGGCGGCTGTTGCCAGCTGAAAGCAGTGTTTCTTGAGCAGGGCCCACCCCACGAGCTACTCACAGACAACAACCCAGCTTTCTGCAGCAGGGAATTCAGAGCCTTTGCATGCGAGTGGGGAGTCAACTTGTGGTTCTGCTATGCATATGCCCCAGCTGGGAATGGTATAGCAGAGTGATGCCACCGCACAGTAAAACGAGTCGCGGCCAGGATGTACTGTTCAATCCAGGAAGCCATCTACTGGTACAATGTCACACCAAAAGACAGTGCATCACCCCAGACTGTGCCACCAACAGGATCCACTGATACGAACTGAGGGTGAAAGGGGTTGAGGCCCCGACAAAGTCTTCAGACCTAAGATAGGGCACGGCTCTTACCAGGCCGGAGATTGCATGTGGGTCAAGGTGCCAATAAGTCGGTGCACCACCAGGTTCAACAGGGGTCGGGTGACGAAAATGATTAGCCTGCAGTCATTTCTGGTGGACGGAATACCCCATCATGTTAAGGATCTACATCTGTGCCACGGTTTCAGTGCGTCTGAGGAAGATTCCGATAACACATCGGAGAGTGGGGCGGAAAGTTTGCTGCTTGACGAGGAAAGTGCAGAGTGCATCAATCCACATGAAGAGGTAGTAGAAGCAGAGCTCTCCTCTGACAATCCACCCGAAGAGGGAGCAAGAGCAGAGCCCCCCACCATGCCTTTGTGAAGAAGCACCTTTTGAAAATGACCATCACCGGTCTGCCACCTTTGTGATCATGAGTTCAGGGAGGGGTGTGACGAAAGACGTGACTTACCTTGGAGTTCAAAATGAGTGCGAACGTGTCTTCTCTGCAAAGTAATGACAAAAAGAAATATGGCCACTATCGAAGACACAATTTATGCATGGCTATCTCATCCAAAACGAGACGATATCTGCACACATGCAAATTTCGGCTGTATCAGACTGTCATAAAAAGTGAGGTGCCAGCGGCACAATCGTGTCGGGACTTATAAATAAATAAATATTGAAAATTTAATTACCATATATACTCGGCATATCATGTGACTTTTTGAAGATCTAATTTTGAAGCTAATTTTAAGGTGATCACATCATACATAAGATATAACATTAGTGCCTAAACTACCAGCCCTGGCTACACCATTGACCAAATTATATATCTATTTATTAGTCAAATTAGCTTCAAAATTAGATCTTCAAAAGTTGCATGATATGTGAGTATATATGATAACCCTTTAGAATTCAGCATGCTCAAACCTGACCCCGTAAATATCAACTCAAAAAGTCTCACAGGTTGCTTTACTTCCTGCATTATTTGCAATGATAACATCATATATTATGGCAGAGTATATATGGAGTGGGTTATGGTGGGTTGAACAGTGAGAGCCGATATTTATGGAATAGGTTTGGGTGGGCTGCATCCTAAATAGTCCAAATTTCTAAAAATTTGCACGTTTCTTTTGTTTTGTTTTTTTTTATAACAACATTTAAACATGTTCAAACAAATATTTCTGGTTTCATATAGTGGATACAGTTTTTATATAATTTTTCACTCTTTCAAAAGTGTATGGAAATATCTACTAAATTTCATACTTGGGAATAATGGAGTTAATAGTGAGGTCAGGATATTGAAGAATTCTTAAGCAGTATTAATAAACCTGCTGATGTTGAACACCCTATTATACAGGTTTTGGTCTTTAGGTTTTGCAAGTCTTTAATGGCAAACTTCATTTGTACCTTTTATTTATTTATTTATTTATTTATTTATTTATTTATTTTTATATATATATATATATATATATATAGCGCATTAGAATTGCATTGATGACTAATAAGTAATTGCCAAGGATAGTTCCTGGTAAACTGTGGAGCTAGAAAGTTGTGGTATTTTTGGTCATTAACAAGGATGATAGATTCCATGATTATAGTATTTTAGGACTTATATCTGTAGATCTAAACTTCAGATTTGTCTTTAATAACTGGGACAGGACTGGTTTTGTTTGACGAATTTCATTTGTACAAAGAGTTGTATTTGTAGTTGTATTATACAAAGAGTTGTATAATTTGCAAGTATTAGTTTAATATTTCAGGGTTTAATGAATCTTAAGAACAATCATTTTAAAACACTATTTTTTTGTAATTGCTATCTATACTTCCAAAATGAAATATTTTCATTATTTTACACATTTGTCTAACTAGTATCTTCATGTTTATTGTTTTTATATCAGTGGTTTGAATAATATGTTCTCAATATGTCAACTGAATGGTTATGTGATAAAAAATATTGAGGCTGAAGATACTTTCTGAAAAATGGGTATAAATTGTTTGATTCATTTGTTTAAAATGATGATAGATTAAAATTCTGAACTCTGGAATTGAACCTTTGGATAAAATTATTGGAACTAGCTCACATGTTTAAAAAAAAATAATTGCTTTAATAATAGTATAAGTTTAATCAAATTTGGATCAATTTATTGATGAAATATTTATTTAACAATATTTTTAAAAAAAATTAGTGTTTGTACACTTTCAATATTTTTGTTGATAACTTATTTTTAGTTTATAACTCAGATAAAATGTGAGTTTAATTGAATGTTTTTAAATATTTTGTAAAATTCTAAATTACAATGCTGAATAAAAATTGATATTTTTTCTAATATTTAGATTATACTTCCTTCTAGAAGTGAGCTTTAGGTAAAATTATTTTTTTTTTTATATTGCAATATTGCTTAATGCTATAATTTACTATAATTTCCAAAGAAAAATGCTATTTTTAAAATTTTATTTAACATTTTTTTAATAGTATTATGTCATTAAAATATTTTGTTTCTCATTTGTAGGGGTCTGGAGTCATTAAGGCTGGATTTGCTGGAGATCAAATTCCAAAATATAATTTTCCAAATTTGTAAGTTTCATTTTCTTTCTTTCACTTTTTATTTTATTTTTTTTTATTTTTGTAGGAATAAACACAGCATGAGCAATTTTTAAAATAAAATTGACAAAATATTACAATTATATATTTTTTTTCACTCTGTTCATCTGTCTTTAGTGTTGTGTTATAAAATATATTCTGTCAGGCACTTCCCATTCAGTGGGGTTTTTTTTCTTGTCTCTACAGTTACATCTTGGGTGTTCAGTTTCTTTATTGTCATTATTTTCGAATAGTGCCTCTGATCAGTCTGGTCATATTAAACATGAAGCTCCAGCTTAATTGACTCTTTATATAACTTGGATTTACTAAGAGGAGAATGTTTATCTAATAAGCTAAAAATATTTTGATAATCCTGGTATTCACTGCCATTTTATATTGAGGTGTAAACCAAATAATCTTTCTTTTATTTAGGTGGAGGCTTTGTTTCTTGGTGCATAATGTCTACTAGGCATACACACACACATGAATATATACATTATGTGAATCCCACATAAACTAGAATTACATATATAAGGCAATATTTACTGTTTTTTTTTGGTTAGGCATGGAATTCATTAATTTTTTAGAACTTCAAATAGATGCATTTTCTCTACATGAATTTGGAACACAAAAAATATACTAATTTCTTTAAAAAGTTGAATGCACATGAAACCTAATTAACCAATGAAAATCAAATAATACAAAAATAAAAATATCAGAATTTCTTTTTCTCCATATCTCATTCTTTGAGGAAGCTTTAATAGAAGTGAAACAGGTTAGATTGATAAATGTTTATTATTCTTTATCTTATCATTTTGTCAGATTCTGATCTATATTTCATTCCAAGTCTTCTTGCTACAATAAATTAACATCTCTCTCACTCTTTGCGTTCATTTTGTAATCTTTTAACTTTATCAAATATTTCAACATTGGATGAGTTTGTAGATAACCTATAATCTATTCTTTTAGAAATAGGTTTAAATATGTTCCTTGGCTGGTTTGACTTCACATTTGTGTAAGCCAAATTATTGTTAGGCTTCCTGAATGGAACAAATCTTGTTCTGTTCAGCTTTAACTCAATATCTAGAAATTTCCCCACCTTTTTAATCTTGTTTCTGTTTCAATTTTTAATTCTAGTTCTTTGAACAGATTAAAGATTCTCTTTCTGTCACTCATTCTATGATCACTGCTCCTCATCAAAATCAAATTATCATCCTTGTATAAAATGTACTAACTTTTATCCATGATTTAGCTCATTTTTCTCCAAAATATAAATTCTAATGAGTTCACAAACTTCCAACCCTATCCTATGGCTCCATGTGAACATGAAAACATTGCTTTTCATCTTGTCTCTTCTTTTGTTGAACCTCTCCATTATGGTACAATACTGACCTATGGTAAATGATCTCTAGCTGATCCTCAAAATAGTCTTTTGTTAGCTGTGTATGATTTTACTGTCTGCTTATTGAAGAATTGAAGGTAAAAGTTTATTTCCATGGAAACTATATCAGATATACATGGAATGCAACAACACTGTTAGAACAAGTTTTCAGCTATAAAACACTATTTTTAAACATAGTCATCACCACTTGCTATGGATTTTTAAGGCACTTTTCATTTCATGGGTTGAGAACTGTGCAGGGCTGCCTGAAACGTAACTTGTCAAAAACATTTTATTTCATTGATGAAACACTTTATCCACCAGTTAACTTGTATCCACATTCACTGTTTGGTTTCTATAAATATTTAACAATCATTGATGAATGTCATGGAAGAATTCAGTGACACTTTTTCACAAGAGTAACCCTTCTAAAATCAGTAATAAGTATTTTAAATGTGATTGTGCAGTTAATGTTATTAACTTATTCTTTAGCATTGGACGTCCCAAACATGTTCGGGTTATGGCTGGTGCTCTTGAAGGAGAGATTTTTCTTGGGCCAGAAGCAGAGGTTAGTAAACCTATATTTTTTTAAAAATTATATTGACAGTAGTGATTAATAGGATTTTCTCAGATTTAATTTATTTATTATTAGACGACTCATAAACTCATTGGTTTTCTTTTAAAACAGTCCATGATACAAAATGATGAGATAACAATATTATCAATTTTATTATTACACACATTTTAATTTGCAATACAAGTTACTGCAATAATTATTGCTCACATTATACAATATTGCTTGGATCAAACGCAGTAATAAATTAATAAGAAAATGTTTACTTCTTTAGAATGGAATTGCAAACTGATATCACAGTAAAGGCCTTTCCATTCAAGTAACAGTAGCCCTGGAGTAACAATTTATATCAATTTTAGTATTTATCATATTATAATTTTAAAAGGTGAAGGTCATTAAAAACAAACAGCAGTCATCTGCTTAAGGAGATTTATATTTATTGAAATAACAAAGGAGGGATGCCTCCTTTTTGTGCACTTAGTTTAATTTTTTTCCTAGGTAATTTTTTCAAAATAATAATTATATTTTTTTATTATACATACTTGTTTTATTTTCCTCACATTTATTTCAAAATGTGTAATGGCAGCAAACCAGTATGCATCTATTTATTTAACATCAAGTCATGTAATAGTTTTCTTGCCACACAGATGGTTTTACAATGACACACCCACATAGCCTCTTCACCTATCAAGTAGTTGCCAAACATCCGAAATATTTGTTTATAAAAAAAGTTCTAATGTAGTGTAGTGAATTGTATAAATATATGTTGTGTTATGTATATTTCAATTTATTTAATAATGCTGTTATAATGTATTATGTTTATTATTTTTCATATGCATAAGAGTTTGTAGTGAAAGAGATAATCAGGTACCCCGGAAAAAAGTTCGTGTTTTGTGTGCGATCTGCCGAAGAAAAATTACTAAAAAGTAGTCAGCAAAAATCTACATCAATGACTAGAAGCTATGCTAATGTTCTTCCCTCCCCTGAATGGTGTGACCAATCAGAAAATTCTCTCGGTGAACAGAAGTCGTTGTTTTTCGCTTATAAAAGGAGATGATTTTTTTGAGCTGTGAAACGAACACACGTTGTTGTTGGCGAGAAGTGAAGGTTGGATTTGTGACCCCCATTCTGTCGTTTCTATGGTATGTGTTGGACTGTTACGTCAGACTATCGTGTGAACTGTGATTTGGCTACAAGTGTTGCGTCCAAGAAACAAGAAATCTATTGCAGTTGCTACTATCAGTTGATAGTCTTTTCTTTACAACAGAGTTTAAATATAATATGTATATGTTTTTTTTATGTTCGTGGATTGGTATAAGAATGTGTATCGAAAAAAACAAATACTGAATTTCCTATTAAAAATGCTGTAAAAACAAAAATGGCCCTGGCTCAAGAACCCCTTGTCTAATTTTAATGAAATTTGGCACCACACTCAGGTTCAAGGTACAATATTATTCTAAATTGTTTGGGGTATTATGTATCATTAAAGCTGTATCACAGGAACAAACATACATACAAGATTAGGGTTTTAGTATTATATAGATAAACTTATATGAACTTCCTTCGTTAGTTTGACAGAATTTTTGAAAAATATTTTCATCCGTTTTATTTGTTTTTTCTTTTCAGGAATATCGAGGATTACTTACAATCAAGTATCCAATGGAACATGGCATTATCCGTGATTGGAATGATATGGAAAGAATTTGGCAATATATTTATTCCAAAGATCAATTGCAAACTTTTGCAGAAGAGGTAAGAGCAGTATATGATGTGGATTTGAAAGGAGAGATGCTAACATGAAATGTTTAGACTCCTGGAGGTTGATATACATTAAGATGGTTTTTGAGAATAAATTACTATTTTTGAGTTTTTACTAGATATGAGTAATTTAAATATTTGGAGGGTAATTTGCGAAAGCTTTCCAAATTTGGTAGTAGATATAATCAAGAGAAAAGCATGCATGGGGTTTAGATGGCTAAATCATTGATCACCTGGCCTCTTTCTATTGGATCAGATCCAAGAGAATAAAGATAAGAAAAAAGATGTTCTTGGCTTGACTTGTTTTAACCTATTAGTCATTGATATTGAATTAGATGTAAATGTCCATGCCTGCTTTTTTTTCTTTGCTGTATGCCTTGTTCAAGAAAAGATGACCAAGTTTTTCTAACTTTTAGATTTAGAAATCAGGGATAAAAACATAACACAACACCAAAAAACAATACTTTTACTGGTTGTAAGAGAAGACCATAATATTTTGTGTCCTTTCATATTTTGACTTTATTTATATTGCACCTCTTTGAAAAAGGGTTACAATTGAATTTCAAACCTGAAATCTTATTAATTCTAATTTATGATCAATTTTGTTATGGGTAAATGCAGAGAAAATACTTTTCTAGGTTAAGTATAACAAATATTATACCCCTCCCTTTGTTTCTGTTTTTTTTTGTAAAATCAGTCTAATTTGGCAGCTTCCAGAATTCTGATAAAAATTATATGGTGGACTTTAGTAGCTGTAAGTGTATGTAATTTAGTCACAACACTATAATGTTATATCTTCTATTTCACACTAAACAGAAAAGGTATCCTTAGTGTTTATCCACAAACTTGGTATTTTTAGAAAGTCAAAACAAAAAAACTTTACAACTGTATGACCCTTATTACATTTTGTGAATTAATTGATGACTGTTTATAACAAGAAAAATTAGTTTCTGTACATTCATGATCTTATCTATTTTGACTCTGATTTGTGAAGGAAACTCAATACAAGTTATAGTAAAAGTATCTTGGAGTTTGATTACAATAATTTTTATTTCAATGCAAATTTATGCTATGGTCATAAGTTAGTAGCATTTGTAATACTCTTACTCTTAAATAAAGCTCATTTCTGTGCAGGTAAGTCAGTAAGTCTGGAAAAAAAGCATTTATTTTACACAACATAGATTTATTTTTCAGTGTAGCCTCCCTCCTTGTCAATGCACCTAACTAAATGCTTCTCCATTCATCACATAGAGCAAACATTATACATTGAAAGTTTCAGATCAAAATTTAGTTAATAATTGTGTCAGGCTATAATCTTATTGATCCTACCTCTTATATATTAAGCTAGGAAGTTAAAGAACAAGAAAAATGAAGGTCAGTTTTGAATTGGATGATGTTTAGTAAGAACCTAAAATGAAGAATAATTGACTCTCAAATTTGAGCTGAACCTCATTTGTAAGTGATAATTGGTTTTGATATTTCTCTTCTTCTTTCTCAGCTGTTCACTGCTATTTCTCTCCATTCCAGTCAGACTGCATAAGGAAAATTCTACATAAATGACAATTTCTTGGATGATCATCCAAGTGCTTATAAGGTGAACATTTTTCTTTTTTAATAGTAGGCAGACTTGGTATGGCTTCACAACACAGCTGTTTGAGGGCTCCTATAGCCCCTCTAAACTTAAATAAAGTCAATTCAGGTTTGCTATTGTAAAAATTTTCTATCCCAAGTAAAAATCATTACAAAAATGGCAAGTCATTTTGTCACAGCTTATTTTCTCTGAAAAAATGGATTTTCATACTCTTATATGGGTAAAATATTGAAAAATGACTGTTTTAGCATCATCTGAACAAATATCAATCAAACTTTTGATCTGAACCCCATGAAACTAGGTATTTTCTGAAAGCAAACAATGTTTTTTTAATTTAAAAGTAAAATTGGCTGGTGTAAATGACTCAAGGATTTTTTTTTTTTTTCAGGCGGTAAGATGTGAAAGAAAATTTTCTAGTTCTAAACAAAAATTTTCCTCAATAATAGGAAATTAACTTTTTTTTTTTTTTTTAAATCAGAAAACCTAAATCATAATCAAACTATTTCAGGCATAAAATTAAGAGTTTGAAGGAAAGCAACATTACTAAGGGGTCAAAATGCAGCAAAGTCTGTTGGTAATTTTCAATTATATAGCCGCTGGGGGTTAAAAAAATTGACACTTGGCCACGGAAATCTTTAGTAAATGTCAAAAGACTTATCCTCAATTCCTGACCACCGGAAACCAGGAGTTATTTAAAAAAAAAAAAAAAAATAGCAGCGATAAGGAAAATTAAATTAAATTTGACATGTCTGGATCAAAGGCCAGTCAGCCCGCGATAAACATTAGAACAAGCTGTCATTGTCAATTTGTGAATCCCATCACTGACAAGATAACAACAAAGAATGAAAAAAAAGATGAAATATTGGTAAAAAGGTCTTGATAGGTTTTTTTTTTTTTTCTTTTTTTCTATGTTTGAACAATAGCTTGATGTGTTTTGTTTTTGTTTTTTTTTGTTTTTTTAACACCTTGTGACCCGGGTGATGACAATGATAATTTTATGTTAGTAATTATTATTTTTCCCTGTCTGGAGGGTTTCTGCCTTATTTTCACAGCAAAATCATCAGTTGGTGTATTGGGTATTGTGACTTTGTGAGGCAGTATAGGATTGTGCCAGGTATTTTCAGTTTGACATGTGAGAGCAGTAGATTTTTCAAATGCTGCTAATTCTATCCATTGATGATGAGCACAAAAAGGGATCAAGCAATGACAAAACTAATTCATATTTTCAACTTAGGTGGTTAAATCTATTAAACTTACTGAGAAAATATTAGAAAAAAATCTTATTTCAATGGTACATAAAACTACTTTGTAGTGATTGCTCACAATTAACCCACTTATAAGAATACTACTGACCCTACCACTTTTTTTTAATGATGATGCTGGTAGTAACCATAACAGTTACACTGGGGTTCATCTGAGGGAAATACACTTGAATATAGGATTTAATTTATTTAAAACTGCAGGAGTTCGGAGACACACACATGTAATCAGATTTTATAGATTTAGGCTTTTCTTTGTTTTCAAATGCAGATTTGATACAATAATGAATCATTTTAATGATGAATTGCAACACCTTCATTTTTTAAATGTAATAGTATATAAGCTTGTTTTAAAAATGAACTCTATGAATTTGTAAAAGGTTTTCTTCAACAAATGCATTTCAGAGACCCTTAACATTTTTATCAAAACTCAGAATGGTTTGATATTTTTTCAAGTTTAGCTAAATTTAGATAATCTTTCTTTTAATACATTTACTGATTTTTTTTTTTTTGCTTAACATTGCTTGTTTGTCCCCAAAGATTAAGCTTCTACTTTTCTAAATATTTTCATTCCTTATAAAGTCTGAAAACCATCTGAATTTAGAAGCTTTTTATTTTATCTATGGTTTTAATTACTAAGATTAGTAACAAAGTAAGGATTACAATAATGATGTTCTATAAGATTAGTTTACTTAGCACTACTTTATAACCATGCTGCCTTTCTTGGAAATATATTGTTTGTGCACAGAATGTTAAAATTTCTATTAGGTTGTCTATCTTCCTCAAGAGAAGGATTAGATTCTAATTTAACCTGAATCATTGATGGAGCCTCAGTGGAAACCTTAATGAACAGCCTCACAATGACCAAACTCACCATTTAGCTGGAATAAATGGGACTATCTTTAATTGCTTCTACACACTGGACATTCTTGTTTGTGGTTTGTAATTATAAATCATTGTATAATTATGATAATTCTTCATCTTAGAAATTAAGATGTTTTTTTTCTTTTGTATGAAGTCCTCCATAAAACAAGCTGAAAATCAGCTGCTAAATTTCTTCTTTGATCAAGTGTCAACTATATGTCTCTTCTTATTCTTTAACCTTTTCTATCGAAATGGAATATATAGGCCCCAAGAAAATAATACTGTCAAGATATTTTTGTTCCCCCTCTAAAAATTTACTTTGTGCTTAACACATTGGATCTAAAGAATAGTGCTCATTGAAAGTTTCATGAATCCATTAATATAAAAAAAAATTAAATTAAGATACTATCACAGAAATCCTAGGGCAATCACAACTTAGCCTTAGTTAACTCAGAAGTCATGAAACAAAATTTTTTTTTTTTTTTTAAATTTACCATGATTTTATGAAAATTGTATAAAAGTTCCTAATAAATGTCTTCAACTATTTCAGTTTTTTAACTTTCATGCTCTTCGTCATGTATTTTTTATTTCTTAAACAGAACATTATAGTGACAAAGAAAATCTAACTTCCTAATAGTAAAGCTGTTCAATAATTTAAAAAACTATTTTTGTTTTATTTCAGCATCCTGTTCTTTTGACTGAAGCTCCATTGAATCCTCGACGAAATAGAGAGAAGGCTGCTGAAATCTTCTTTGAAACATTTAATGTCCCTGCTCTTTACATTTCCATGCAGGCTGTACTCAGTTTGTAAGTTGTATAGAGTTGAAGACCTATGAAAGTATCTTTTATAAGGATCATATTCCACCTTATTCCAAATCAATAAATTAAATGAAAATAACATTGACAAAACATTTTAAGTCTGCTTGCTGTAAATGCTGAAAAAAAATTCATATTTGTTAAAAGCAAGTTTTTTTTTTTTTACTTATAGCATTCTAGGGCTTTCTTGACTTTAGAAAATGTAGATGTATTTCATTTTGTTTACTTAAATAATTTTTATTATTATTAATGCTTAAATTGTAAGGTAAATATTTATGTATGTCTTCACTTGCCCATTATTTTGTTTTTATTTGAGTTGGTGTTATCTTAAGTATTAGGTTTAGAATTAAATTGTATTGTTTGAATTTGTATGCATCTATTTACATTCACACATGTGTACATAAATATATATGTGTGTGTGTGTGTGTGTGTGTGTGTGCATTTATATAAATGTACGTACATACAAATGAACACACAAACACATGTACATCTGTATCTGTGCTTTTATATTAATATATTAATTAATACTTAAATGGTAAAGTGTTTTCTTTAATTTTTATTTTGTAATCTGGTTTGGTTGTAGTTCAAATGTTATGGCATGAGTGGTTAGGTTTATAGATGTGTTTTCTTTGAATTTATGTATATAGGGTATATAATATGCAAGTACGTGTGTGTTTGTGTGTATATATATCTCCAAATGTAAAAGAACAAAGAATAAAATTCCAATGTTCGAAACATTAATTTAAAACAGGGCTCAATACAAGAGTAGAGCAATAAATATTTATTATATACACTGTTACATTACTTTATGTTCTAATGTAACAGTCTATAATATATATATATATATATATATATATATATATATATATATATATATATAGACATGTCTCATTGAATAATTATATTTTTTTTTTTAACTGTCAAGTGAAAAACATGTACTGTATGATTTAAATTTCACGTTTGAAACCTCAGGTGAGGTAACTAAGTTTGGTATGTCCATATGTTTTTTTTTTTAATATCTAGGTTTCAACTATCTATTGTAAACATTTTAAAACATTTGTGCAGTATTCATAATTAATTTTGTTAATAGTTGGATTCAATTTTTCAATATAGATAGCTTCAAGAATTCTTATTTTATGTTTATTATTTCCATGAAAAAGTATAGATGTATTTTCAACTAGAATTTTTCTAAACTGCAAATGTGGACAGGCAGGCTGTTGTAAATGTTTCGATATGTTTGATGCATCATTTAAATGAAAACTCAACTGTCAAGACAATGTTGCAGTGGTAGTAGTGTGCCCAACATATATATTATTTTTTTCTGTTGGTGATACAATCTCCTAAGGGACATTTAAATTTATATACAATGTTGATTTTCTGCAACATGTTAGTTGGTGGGGAGGAGTTCATAATGTATGATTAAATTGGATATATTGAGGTTTCAAACATGGAATGTAAACTGTACAGTACATAACCTTAGCGTTTTTCACTTCGCAGACAAAAAAAGATTTAACTTTCAAACTAATTTTGTCTTGGAAAAAAACCAACACCTTGCTGATGTCGAAAGTACTTATAATAAATGAATATGTATCAATATGGTAATTTTCTCTTTTCCTTTAATAAGGATACTAAGAAGTTTGTCTGTGAATATGAGAAGATCCTATTGAAAATAAGTAGACAAAACTTGTCTAAATTATTCAGTGAGACATGTCTTAGTCAAAACATGCTGCCAAAATATACACACACACACACACACATATATATATATATATATATGCATTGCCCCCCCTCCCACACACATACCAAGAAGAATGGTGATCAAGGCAACAGAAGATGGTGATTGATGTTGCATTTAAATTTTTGAAGATTGTAGTTATCAGGGAAGGGAGTTCCACTGTCAGGAAGTGTGAGAAAAGAAACTGCTGGAGTAGAAGTGGCTGTTGCATTTAACAATTTCAACAGTAAAAGGGTGGAACCTACATGTCAATTTGGTAGCAAGCTTAAATTCATATAGTTGGGGCATCAGGGAAGATAGCCCATCAAACAGTTGTCATGAAAATATTTGTAGAAAAGACAGAGGGAAGCCATATCTATGAGAGAGTGATTGAAGTTCAGATATCAAGTCAGGATTGATTACATTGCAGATCCTTCATTGGATTTTGTCGAGAACTTTGTGATGAACATCAGGTGCACTAGACCAGATATGGCAACAATATTCAATGCATTGATGAATGGTAGATTTGTAAAATAAACTGACGGGAAAAACCTTCTGGCACAACACTGTGAATTGACTCTCCTTGAAGAAGATTCAGCTACTGATTCAATGTAGTTGTTCCACCTTAAGTCATTGGAAAATATGAGGCCAAGAAGGCACAGTGAAACACTCTCACAGTCAAGCATCAACCATTCTGAAGGGGGACAGGGTAGTTTCGTTGTGACAGTTAAATGAGAGCAGTTTAGTTTTGGTGGTATTAAAGTTCACATGCCATTTACTGCCCTAGTTATCACTGATTGGAGATCCTTTTCAAGAGCAGTTGCTAGATTAATTTTGTCAGCACTGCTAGATTTATTGAAACAGGAGTAAATGGTAGTGTCATTTGTATAGATGCCCACTTGAGAACTGATGATATCAGGGCAATCATTGATGAAGATCAGAAATAGTGTAGTACCCAGGGTAGTGCCTTGGGGAACTCCTGTGTTCATATGGAAGGAACTGGAAGGAATCCATTCAGGAAGACCTTCATTTCATGATTTGATAAGAATGATTGGACAAATAATCATCCTGCAATACTGTAACTCTGAAGCTTATGTAGAAGACCAACATGTCAAACTCTGTTGAATGCCTTTGAGATATCTAGAGCCACAGCTTGAGCTTTGCTGTTATTATCAAGAGCTTGATATACATATTCAATTCTGGCTGTAAGCATGTCAGTGGTAGACTGGGCAAATGGAATCCATATTGTTTGTCAGAGTAGATCGTGAGATGTAAGATGCTTAACCACTTCAGCATTGATTAAGGCCTCAAAGACTTTGCTGCAGGGTGATAGGAGACTGATAGGATGATGGCTGGTATCCTGTCACCTCCACTTGCCTTGAGTATAATTTGAAAATGTTGTTTGAGACCAATGATATAGTTATGCGCATATCACTCAGTAAAAAGGGGGAAAGTTGGATGAGAATTTTCGAGCAAAGCATTCAGCCTTATCTGCTGTAGACTTTGAATAGAGGAGGGATTGAGGGTTTGATGTTGTTCAGCAAAGTCTTGCAGAGCTGCCAATAATCTCTAGAACCAAACTTGCAAGATGCTATATCTCATTCAGCAAACAGTAATTTTGCTTCATTGAGCATATGCTTGTACTCATTATGAGCAGAGACAGAGAGAAATCTGTTACAATCAGACATGTTCCTCTGGTACAGATGGAAGAAGTGATTCCTGTGGGCTATAGCGGCTCAGAGAGCAGGTGAGAACCAAGGAGATAAACATGGTTTAACAAGTTATTTTCTTGTTGGAATGAAAGCATTGATGCTGGCTCTTACCTCAAACACACATTTTTTGAATGGGATGATTAAATGTTACACTGGAGATCTTGGAACGAGTCTCAGTCTGCTTATTGATAGCACAAAGATATTCTGTTGGTAAGGGGTTCTTGGCTGGTGACATTGCGGAAAGAGATTTATTAAAGAGAAGTATTTCTGTCAGGGTTACTGGGGAAATGCATAGGAAAGTCAACCACTTGCGTGAGGGATTTGAGTGATTGAAATGTTAAGGGTTTGGATGCCAGTGGGATCAGTGACAGTGTTTAAGCCCCCTGGTATACTGGGTGTTGAATCACTGAACATGACTATGATAGCAGATGGATGTAGGGAGATGGCTTTGTCAATATTATTGGAAATACTATCTAGCATGCAACAGTCATGAAAGGAAGGAGATTGGTAGAGAAAGAAGAGATAGCTGACTGAATTAAAGAGAGATGGAGACACACATATACGAATGAAGACTGGCTGGCTTGCAGAGGCTGTCCGTCCCGGTCCTGGCCCTGGTGGCCTGCCTTATGCGCCCAACAAAGGCGAAGACTGGCAGCCTGCCTGTCTGCCTCGCGCGCCCGGCTGCTTCTGCCCAGCTACTGGTGGCTGCCTTCGGTGGCGGCATGCGCTACCTACCGGGCTCGCTGTCTCTATGGTCTGGAGATTCAAGAGAGAGTTTCCTAGCCAGTGGCAGATGTTTGTGGACATAAACTTCTAAGGTCATTCATGTGAATTTTGGAGTCCTTTCCAATTAGAGGAAGGTAACCAAGAATCGAAAAATCAGAGGAGGGGATTGACGAGTTAAGGTTAGTTTCACAGAGACCTAGGATGTCTGGAAACTTTTCAAAGAGGAACAATTTGATACTGCAGATGTTGTTATGAATAGCACAAATGTTGGAGAAAGAGGAGCTTAACATTTTTTTTATTTCAACAATTACATTTGATGTTATTTTGCTGAATGTTATTGTTATCATTGTGTGTATGTATATGTGTATATCTCTCTCCTATAATATATATAAATAAAATGCACTGTTTTCTGGAACTTTTCATTTTGTCCTTTTACTTTTGGATGTTCTGCTTTTTAGAAAGAAAGTTTGGTGGTGTTTTAGTTTGTTTTTTTGCATTTGTAAAATGGAATTATTTCAGCAAGATTTTATTTTACTTTCCATTTATTGACTATTTTGATTGTCCTTTTGTTTGTAGTTATTGATTGTAGCTGTGATATTTTATGCTTTAGATATGCTACTGGCCGTACCACTGGTTTGGTATTAGATGCTGGAGATGGAGTTACCCATGCTGTACCAATATATGAGGGATTTGCCATGCCACACAGCATTATGCGTGTTGATGTTGCTGGTCGTGATGTTACCAGATATCTAAGACTGTTACTTAAGAAAGAAGGTTATGATTTTCATACATCAGCTGAACTTGAAGTTGTCAAGGCAATAAAAGAAGTAAGTTTGTTATATCTGAAAGAATTCTTGAAAGTAAATATTTTCTCATTGTCTGAAGCTTTTATGAATTTGATTTAATTGATTTTAATTTTCAGATGAAAAGTTTTTGTTTATTCAGTTTCAGAAACAAAATAATCAGTTTAGTGTGATCTGGTGACTTGAGCCTGGAATTAAGGTTTACCATTATAATCTAAGAAGATTATATCATTCTCCTGTTCCACTGAGCTCTGGTTACATGGATAAATGGGTTTGCATCTCTGGCATTGGCCATGTGTTTTAATAACAATACAAAGCTGCTCAAGTTTGGAAGAAACTGCCAGTAAGGATAATAAAGATTTTAATTGTGGTTATGAAGAATCCAAAATTTCATTTTGCTTAAGTATTGTTTTTGCCACAGAGCTGAATGTAGGTAAAATGGGAGTTTTTCTGAAGATAACCTGATAAAAAGTAGATTAATTAAATCAATGAACTTGTTCATTGAAATCATTATGTAGCCTTGTGTCCCCTGGAAAAGTGAATAATCACTGTGTGTGATCACAGATTAATTATTAATGGTGTTAATATATTCAGAAGTGCAGGTAAACTTTGTTTTCCATGGCAAAGCTGATTATTCAAATATTAGTGCAAGTTGAACTTTTACATGAATAAAATCAGTGTCTGTTTAAAGTTGTCAGACTTGAGTGAAAATGATTTCTATTAGTTCATGCTGATATAAAGCCACACTCCATCAGTAAGTCTGAACAAATATTTTGCAAGTAACAAAACCACATTCATCCACATACTATTGTTATACTCTGACAATAAACCTTCTTACATCTGAATGAGAAGTGTCAGCAGTTTCTTCCATTGTAATAGTGACTTTCCTTCTCCTCAATTAATATGGCACATTTATTGACTTATTGTTTCTGCACCAAGTGCACTGGCTGCATCATCACAGTACAAATGTTATAATAGGGTTATCATTGAATTGGCAGTCAGCTTTGAGACATTCAGCAGTAACTCTTGTCCTTTGCTGATGCTAATATGATAGATAAAAAATGTTTATATTAAGTTTCTCAGGATATCCACTGCATATAACTTTTAAGGGTTTCTCTTACTTTTTAAAAAAAAAAATTTTTTATATAAATATTCTTTTTATTGTATGTGTATGTTTCATTTTTTTTCATCCCTTTATTATTTTCTTTGCAAAAGAGAAAAAAAAGTAAATTGTATTTCTTTTCAGAAAATTTGTTATCTGCCTTTGAATCCAATGAAAGAGGAAGGTGTGGAAACAGAAAAAGTTGCCTATACTTTACCTGATGGAAATACTATTGAGGTTTGTATGTCTTAGAAACATAAATTATAACAGCTGAAAATTTTAATTTTTTTTACTAAAATTTACTTGAATAATATGTAAACAAAAAAGCAGCTCATTAACTAAAAAATTGTTTCTTTAAATGTTCTGTATTTAAACAGTAAACTTCATTGTCAAAAAGTGATTAAAAATAATTACTATTAGTATGTAGTCTTTTCAGTCTTAAATTTTATGCAATTGTTTTTTCTTTGAGATGTGATTTTTTTTATTTCTTAAATCAGGAATATTAATAGCTACAATGTTTTCTAGTTTTGTTTGTGTTGCGTAGCTAAAATGTTAATTTATCATAAAAATAAGAGAATTTTATTTTTGGCAACATAATCAAAATTTAAATGTTTATTATCTTCAGTTAACCATGGTTTTTCAGGGAGTGTGGGATATAGTTTAAAAAAAGAAGCTTGATTTACACAGTTGCCATTACATATAATAGCCTTTACATCAGCTGGTATAGAGGTGATGACTTGAACTGTTAACTCAGTTTGTTCAAATAAAAAGGATGATGTTAATTTTGAAATTGGAATCAATCTTTAAGAAATTTTGGATCCCCATTAAGACATATCAACATTATACCAAGTTCTGTTTGAGCAAGTAAGATGGATTGACAACTGACTTACCAAATAGTTGTTTGCCATGAAATAGTAACATTTTCTTGATATATACTTCATCATAGAGAATTATACACCCTCCTTTTGACTGGCATTAAGTGTATAAATACAGATAGCAAAAAAGATTTTTTATGTTTTGAAACTTTTGATGTCATTCTTCTTAATGTTGCTAATGATAGTAATTGAAAATCCTGGTTTAATCTATTATACTGTGATGTTGCATAGTATTTAAAAGCATGTATTACTATATCCGAGCTGTATTTCATTCCAACCGTTTTGGGAGCCATTGCTGAAAAGTGCTGACTTGAGATATCCTCCTTGTGATCAAAAGCCATAGAATTTAAATGTCTGATAATTTCTTCCAGTGTTGAAGTATCAACTGTATTTATATGGTTTTTGGACAGGCTGCTAATGTAACACTTTACTCCATAATAAAAGGCTTCAAACTGCAAATTTTTATAAATTCTTAACATAAAGAGAGGGATACCATTAATAACTTTTGATGACTGAACAATTAAAATATTTTCAGCCAAAAATCAAAGTCTTTGTTGTTGATTAGAGTTTCTTTCAAATATGTATCGTTTTATCTAATTCTAAAAAAAAGCATTCATTTCATTATCAATTTGATTTCAAGCAGTACTGGAGGTTTTTTTGATATCCCTTTGAACAACAGAGGATGTTGGTATTTGACTCTTTGGCACACCTAACCATACAGGTGGTGGATTTTTGGAGTGCATTTTTTTATGAATTTCTATGGTATCAAAATTTGAAGGTCAATGTAGTTGACAACTGTATTGTTTGTAACATTCAGATTGGCATTTGGAACTGATTTTCTCCATTGCATTCTCTCATCTTTCTCTTTTGGAAAATGATAAACTGATATTTTATTCATCTCACACACACTGTTGTCTTGCTGGCTTCTGTAATTTGTTTTGCAAACAATGAAACAACACTTCTGGGACATTGCTGGAAACTGGGTAATATCTGAAATGATAGATTAAGCTTCTTAAGTACAATTATTTCTTTTATTTCTTCAATTTAGGGGTAACCTTTCAAGCCAAATTAATTATACTCTTAATCCCAAATTTACATCCCCACCATACCAATAAGTTAAAAACAGAAATTGGAGAGGGCGGCCTTAATCCTGAGAATTCACTTTTTAAATTGATTTTTTGGTGGGTGGGTTATAATGGTTTTGAGGTTTGCAAAATATTACATACTCTTTTATTTAATTATAGAGTTAAGTATCTAAATTTCTGGCACTTGTCAACATCAGATCAGCTATTGTTTGGCTCTCTCCCAGAGTGCTGCTCCTCCAGGTAACACCTCCCGCTTGATTTAAAGGGATGTTGTAGGTGCCCCTCAAGTGGAATCCCAAGAGGAGAGGGCTTTGACTATTTTTGGGACAATGCCTTGTGGTGGGGAAATCCACCCTGGTGTACCTTAATCTTGGCCTTTTGAGTCAAAAATTAGTTTCATGCTCAACTTGAGTAAATAAATAAATAAATACTTTAGAAGGACTTGAAAAAAATGACAGCAAGCATTTATAATAATGGTTAATATTTCCCCTGCATTTTTAGAGTATCAAATTAAATTTTATTATATGACATTAAATTTTTGTAAAAATATTCTTAAATAACTTTTTCATTAATTTCAGAATAAGAATATGACACTTGGGCTCTATTTTACACTTTAATGGAAAATTTAAAAATTAAACTAAACAAATAGATTTGATCGGTTTGGCAATTTGTTTTGTTATCAGTTTCCATTTTTTTTTTTCCCCCTTGATACAGTGCTTTTCGATTTGGTTTTTCGGTTTTTAATTTAGTATTTTCACTTTCTAAGGAAACCATTCATTTTCTTGTGTAAGGATAGCATTTCCAGTCGATATCTGATTTCATTTGAGATTGATAAATTTGCAATTTAGTCCATTCAACTCACAATTTCTCATGTATTTCTGGTCCAATCTTAAAAATATTCATATGGTTGGAAATAAAATAATCTTTCTAAATATGTAATTTGTATGTGCTTCTATTTGTTGAATTAATTTTTACAGCGAGTTAAAATGGTATTTTGCTTTGAACGGCCAAAAATGTGAAATATTTTTTTTTCGAGACTAAATTTTACATGTTACTTTGTTTTGCAAAATCAAAGGGACCAATTTTTATCAATATTCTTGAAATTGTACACTCAGTTAGAAGACACCTTAAACTACAACCAGGAAGATGTTCATTTCTTCCCTGACCTGTGGAAATTATTCCTTTTTTTGCGAGCAAGCAAAAAAAAAAAAAAAATGATAGTAATAAATGTGTGGTAAAAAACTTTCAAATTATTGAAACTACTGTCTGACACTGACAGACACTTGTTTTGAAGCAATTATTTTAATTAGAGGCAAGGAATTCTCCTGTTTATACCCAGAAATGCTGATAATAATTTGTATTTTCTTTACACTTATGGTCTGCCATAGAAAATATGTGTGTATTGTATTAAGACATGAAAAGTGGCTAAAAAAGAAAAATTTTTACTTTGGGTTTAAAAAAAATGACTTGCAGTTTTGAAAATATACATATTTTAAAACTGAGATTAAAAGTTACTTTATTTTTTTAGTATCTAATTTTAGGTGCATTTGCTAGAAAGAAACATAATTTTATTTTTTGAAAACAAACACTAGAGATTCGCATATTTGGAAATATACACATTTTAAAAGTGAAATTAAGAACTATTTTAATTCTTAATATCTAATTTAGGTGAATTCCCTAAATAAAAAAAAAACAAATTATTTATAAAAAAATCTTCATTCATTTGTCTTGTTTACAAGTTTATTTTTTGATTGGTATACTGGCTTACTAGAAAACCCTTACAAAAAATTCGACTTTATAAAATTTACCATTAAGATGAAACTGGCAACTATTTTTTATTTTTACTTGCAATTTGTTAACTTAATTTTTCCACAAAAAAGTTGTTTTTTTTTTTTTTAAACTGAAACATAGATTTCACTACATAATGTTGTATTATCTTTTTTTTTCCATTTCAAAACATTCTATGATTTCCAAGTGTCATATTTTGTATTTCCTTTTTTGCTTTTTTGTAAACAGATTTCATGTTTATTTCCTAAAACTAGTCAATTAAATGTTTTTAACATATTTTTGTTCAATCTTTTTTTTGTTTACAATGGTATAAATGTTGATTTAACATCTGAAAGTCTTTTTCAATAGCGTTTCTTTGGATCTGGTCACTCAGTAGTGATAGCACTAAACCAAACGATTTCGGTTTTGTAAAAAATTTTGGTGTGAAGATGAAACCGAAAAATGTCAGTTTTTCGGTTAAACTACCCATCTCTCATAATAAATATAATTGTTTATTTTATAAATATAAAATAGTTTATTTTACTGCTTTTTACACAACTAATAAAAAATATAATTCTATGAATGCAGTTGCTCTTTATGAATAACAGTATTAAAGAAAATATTAAAGTAACTTTGTGAAATAATAAATGTAATTTATTTTTAATAAATTTCAAAGTATAAAATTTAAAAACAAGCGTAGGAAAACATCATTGAAAAGATGTATGTCTTAAAATAAACTAGACATTAACTTTATGTAATATTATTTAATAATGTAATGTTTTTCTTTAATTTTAATAAGTAAATCATTACAGTTTCTTCAGTAACAAAAAGAAAATGTGGTAAAAAAAAATCATACTTTTTTAACTTTTAGAAACAAATATACAGGGTGTAAAAAAAAAAAAAATGAGAATTCATTTTTAAGTGTAACTGCTTTTTTTTTTTTTTTTCCTAAGAACATTGAATAAATTTGTAAAAGACAAATGTTGAGTCAGTGACTATTAAATTAGCTTTTTTACCATACTTTTTAAAAATTTTAGAAGACCCTGGAAAAATGACTGAGTGGCAGGATTAATTTTGTTAGCACTCACAGCATTTTTACAATATCAAAAATAAATGCTGAATTCAATATTTAGAATTTAATTATAATTATCATTAAATTTATGTAAAAATATTCTTAAATGTTTTTTTCATTCATTTTGTAAAAAAAAAAAAATATTACATTTGTGTGTGTTTAATGGTAGATTTTTAAACTAAACTAAAATAACGTCTAAAATAAAAACACAAATTACTCATAAAAGAATTAAATTTTATCAATGAATAATTTTTATGAATAATGATATTAAAGAAAAATATTAAAATAACTTTGTGACCATTGACAAATAATGGCATTTTATTTTAATTTTACATGAATTTTGCAGTAAAAACAGAAATGTGTCTAAAAAAAAAAAGTCTTCTAAAAATCTGAACCTCATGGAAGAAATTAAGGGTGTTTGCTTTTATTTTATTTTGTTTTTGAGAAGAACCTTTTAAACTTAAATGAAAAATATTAAATAAGAAGCTTAAAATTCAAAGCAACAAGATCAAGATGCCTAAATACCATTTTTGAGTTTCTTTTTACAATCTACATAAAAAATAATATAGCAACTTAAAATAAATAAATCTTCTATTTATTTCAATCGAATAAGGCAAGTGATATTCCAAATTTAAGGAAAAATTTCTTAGAATTTCTTAAGCCAACAACACTGGTGGAGTAACTGAAACTGAAACTAAAATGACCTACTTTAAAACCAGCCTCCTGTTCTTCCCTGTCTCTACATTATGACTTGGCCAGCTAATATAAAATGCCATGCTCATAAACTCTATCTGATGACAAACAGAGAACAAACTTTTTGGCTAGCCATAAGATAGTGCTGAATAGTTCTTGACCTGGCAAAAATACCAACACCCACTAAATAAATATGTTGTTTGGTCAGATTTTGGGAAGTGGATGGGACCAAGAACTCTTCAGTGCTGTCTTGTACAAGGCTGTTTTATGGCTGAGATAAAAGCAGTAACTGAGTTAACTGTAGTAAAAAAGCTCCTAAGTCTGAAAACTTTGTGACAAGGTCAAGAAATTTTGATTTTATTGACCTTAAAGCAATTAAAAGTTTTGTTGATAAATAAGGCTTCATGGTTGTATATGGAATCAAAAGAAAAAAAAACCCAGATAAATTGGTTTGATTCTTTATAGTTTTAAAAATAATTTCCCCAATCCCTGACATCAGGTAAACTATTGCCTACTTGAAATGATAAGATGACATGCACTATTTTTGGAAAGCCAGAGAGTAAAATTATCCAAAGGAATAAGGAAATGTTTTGATGACGTATAAAAGATTATCTCAAGTATTGTTTTACGTAAATCTTTTTACACTTTTGCATAAATATTTCAAATGTTTACATGGCTGATCATTTGCTTACAGATTGGACCAGCTCGATTCCGAGCTCCTGAATTGTTGTTTAAGCCTGACCAAATTGGAGAAGAATGTGAAGGCATCCATGAATGTCTAGTTTATTCAATACGCAAATCAGATTTAGATTTGCGAAAAGTGCTTTATTCCAACATTGTTTTGTCTGGAGGTTCCACGTTATTTAAAGGTAAAATTTTGATCACTTTAAATAAAAATAACTAAATGTCAGTTGGTAAAAATACATTAGTGAATATAAAAGATAATAAATCTCTTTCAGTCTTTTCCTTACTACAGAAACAGTTTATTCTTCCCCAGCACCTTTTTACATTGAGAGGGGAGGGATTTGTAGATAGAGGCAGAGTTTGCTTTATATAGTGAGGGGACATATTTAGAAATGGACACAAAGGTAGGGTTTGTCTCTTCTCTACTTTTTAAATATGAAACATTTAGAAATGGTTGAAGATGTTTTTCTTTTTGCTTTCTTTCAATTTTACATAAGTCTTATTTTTTGTTTTTTAGGTTTTGGTGATAGACTCTTGACAGAAGTAAAAAAATTAGCCCCTAAAGATTTAAGAATCAGGGTAAGTCAATTGATTTCCTTTTTCTCTCTCTCTATTTATTTATTTTTTTTTATTAATTTGTTTTTTTTTTAATTTTTTTTTATTTTTTTATCAAAACATTACTTTTTAGAAATATTCTTTGTAAAGATACTCTTTGCTTTAAGATGATCTAATGGTGATTTTTTTCATCTACAAAATGCTATGTTAGCAAAGAAAATTCAGTAGTTATTAAAATACTCTTATTTTTCCATGGACTAAAGATGCTGTACAATATATCTATCAATTCCAGGATAAGCTATCAGCTTCCACTCAGTCTTCAGGCTCACTAATGATCATGAACATCTCCCAAACTTGAACTTTATATCAAACATCCAAGTACTGTTTATAGTGAAGAAAAAAGAAAGGAGGAAAATTATTACCTTCAAAGAGTAACAAAAGATAATAGGGGCATTTTTAATTTTTTTTTTTTTTACTTGATATCACCCCATGCAAGGCAATACAACCACTAACAAGTAAGGAGTTACAGGGTGTGAATGAATTAGGTACAGGAACATTAGTAATGAGTAGAATGAGAAAAGAGCAAGCAGGAGGACAGTATATAGTGATTGACATTGCATTTAAATTTTTGCAGATTAAAGCTGGCTGTAAAGCATGGAGCCGGGAGGGAGTTCCACAAGCGAAAAGTGTGAGAAAAGAAACTGTCAGCATAGAAGTTACAGCTACATTTAGCTAGCTCTACTGTAAATTGATGAGATCTTGGTGCCAGTCAAGTATTACGCTTAAACTCATACAATCTAGGTATCATAGCAAAGAGCTCATCTGAACAATTACTGTGAAAGTATTTATAAAAAGAACACCAGAGAGGCAACCTTACAGCTTTGGGCTAGTGGCTGCAGTCAAGCTGCCAGATCAGGACCAGTAATATTGCTGATTCTTTTTTGGATCTTATCAAGGAGCTCCAGGTAAATAGCAGAGGCACCAGACCATATATAGTATAGCAGCAATATTCTAAGCATGGATGAATGGTAGACATAGATATGCAAGATACATTCTGTCGATAAAAATTATCTTGCCCGACACAGTGAACTGACTTTCTTAGCAACTGATCTAGAAATGGATTCAATGTAGTCTTTCTACCTCATGTTAGCCCGAGAAGGTGCAATGAGTCACTTTCTAGGAGGATAGCACCAGCCAAGCTGATGGAAGGCAGAGAGGGGTCTCTCAGATGATTAATGGAGAGAAGTTTAGTTTTGGAGGCATTAAAATTGACAAACCATCTTTTTCCCCATTTAATGATGGTCTTTGGGTCATTTGGCACATCAGCTGTCATTTTGACCTTGAACTATTGAGGCAGGAGTAAATCTCGTGTTGTCAGTGTAGATGCCAAATTGGGAGCTGATATCATTGGGAAGGTCATTAATGAAGATTAAGACCAGTATAGGACCAAGGATGGAGCCCTGGCGGGGGACACTTGCATTTGTGTGAAAGGTTGTAGATGAGTGGCCATTCAGGACTACTTTCATTTCACGATTTGATAGGAACAACTGGATCAGCCCAAAAATGTGCTTGGAAATACTGTAACTTTTCAGCTTGTGGAGAAGACCTGAATGCCAGACCCTGTCAAAGGCTTTTGAGATGTCCAGCTTCACCGTTTTTATCTAGAGCATGATAGCCTCTTTCCACAATTATTGTTATTACATCAGCAGTTGATCTGGAGAAATGGAAGCTGTATTACTTGTTTGAGAAAAGGCCCTGTGATGAGCGATGACAAACCAATTCAGCATTGATTAGGGCCTTGAGAAATTTCTCAAAAAGGCTAATAGGCTGATAGTTGGATGGGTCAGATAGTTCACCAGAGTTCTTAAAAACTGGAATAACAGAGAATGACTTCTAGCAAGCAGGAAATCAGGAGACAGCAATGCATTTATTATACAGTTTAGAGAGAGCAGGAGCCACTTCAGGATACTTGAGTATTACAGGGATACCATCGGGTCCACATACCTTGTGGGGAACAAGGTTAGATAAAAATCCTGGAATGAATCCCAATCAGCATGCTGGTAACAGAAAGAGGTCTTATGGATAGGGGGCTCCTGTTTAATAGTTGCTTGGAAGGTGATATAAATAGTTACCACAGGGTGGTCTGAGTTACCAAGAGGGCAGTACTATGAAACTTGGCAAGAACGATGTGAGGAGGAGGTAAAAAAAATAGTAGAGAAGACTGTTGCTCAGTTCGACTAGGGAAATGAGTAGGGAAGTCAATGATTTGAGTGAGGGATTGAGCAATGGAAAAATTTAACATCTGTATACTGGCAACATCAGTAGCTTTTAGAATGTTTCAGTCATGTATCATGGTGAACATTAAAGTCACCAAAGACACAAATTCACAGATGAATGGAGAGAAAGTGCCTTTTCTATACTGTCAGCTATTGTGTCTAATATACTGCAGTCTTGGGAAGAGGGGAGGAGGAAAAAGATAGATAGCTGAGATTTTAGTAGCGAAAGTCAAAAGCACATGAAAGAGTAGTCAGTGGCCTTGAGAGACAATTTCCTGCCCATTGGAAGATTACCCCAGATGTAAACATCAAGGCCATGCATGTGAATGCTGGAATCTTTTCAGCAAAGGGCAAGATAACCTGGAACCAAGAATTCATTGGTAGCTATGGAAGAATTCAAGTTGGTTTCACAAAGGGGGAAAGATATCTGGCGACCTTTCCAGGGGAAAAGATTCTACGCTTCAGAAGTTGGAATGAATACCATGAATATTGGAGAAAGAAAGATTGATGGGATTGGGTGGTTTTTGTTAACGGGTTTAGTTTTATTTTTGTTGTGATTTCCTTGAGAGATGTTTTGAGGAGAGAGAAGAAAAGACCACCATAATTGTTAATGATAATACAAACCAGCCAGTGTATAGCGGAAAGCAGCATATAATGTGGCCTCAGGGTTACCCACTAGAAATTCATACAGGGACACCTGCCTATGTGCAACAGCGCTACAGATATCTCAATATTATGTGACTGTTGATTGGAGTAGACTCTCTAAGTGTTAACAAAGGGTTTGGGCTTGTAACAACCAGTTGGAAGGTGCAGTCAGCAAACTGCCAACTTGGTACCTTCATAATGGAAAGTCATAGCCACTGGTTAGTCTGATCACCAAAGAGTTAAGACAGTTAAATCATTGGCTCTGGTAAGAGAAAGAAAGAAAGAAAGAAAGAAAGAAAGAGAATTGGTAAACCATAAGTCAGGGAACAAGGGATGAATCTCCACTCTGGTTTTAAAAAAAAAAAAAAGTCATCCACAAACGAAACCCAATTTTCAAATTATATATATATATATATATATATATATATATATATATATATACACACACACACACACACACACACTTTAATGAAACAAATCTAGGTTAAACCCTTCTAGATTAGGGGTGGAGTGAACTAAATAGTTTGATAATTAATAGTGATGAAAACAATATATGCAGAATATTACATGCAAAAGCAACAAATAAGTATAAAATTCAAAATCAAATAAAAGAATAAACACAGACATTTCAACATTTAAAACAACAAAATGGCATAAGGTATTGTATCTTACTAGTGCTGCTTCATTCCAATTGCTGAATTTGAATTTTTTGGGGGGGTATGGGAGAGGCAGACTTTATTCATTGTAAATAGAGGAGTATCTCTACCCATTTGAATATTTATCTTTTTACTAGGATTTTAAGGGGTGCAAGAAAGGAAACACTAAAATTAGAAAATATCTTGTGGCAGAAACTTTTTTTCTTGTTAATGCTCACATCCTCAACCATACATTTTTTTATTTTTATTTGGTTGATTCTGCTTTCACTTTAATTTTGAATGATTCTCTTCTAATGAATATTAAATAAGAAAGCTTTTTTTCTTTTTCTTTTATACTTCTGAAAGCTTGGAAAGAGCAATTTCTTTTCTGTGATTATTAAATCCTTCAAAAATTAATAACTGAAATATTTTCTTTGGATAATATCAAAGTGTCAGTAGTTAAGCCTTGCTTTTCAACAATGAAATGACACCCAAGCTTCTATTAGTATATATTTACTTTGATATATGTAGGTATACTTTAGAATGTTAATATGATTCTAAAATATGCAATACTTAAGTTAGGTACCTCCACGAGATCGCTAAAAAAAAGAGCATAGCATGATGAAAAAGATGCCAAACTTGACGAAAACAAAATTTTATCGTCTAAATGTTTGTTATTATTAAGAGGAAAGATCAAAGTATTTTGGGGGTATTTTTTTTTTTTTTACATTTTTTAATCGTTCCTAGCTCGTTTTTTTTGAGTCGGCAAAATTGACCATTTTTTTCCATTTTATAAAAAAACTGGAAATCTCACTTTGAAACTCTTTTAAATATCAATATCATTTTTTCAAAACTTATTTTAAGAAAATCAGAAATTTTAATGTTTATTTAAAATATTTAGAACCAAGCTTAACTTAGCTTCTGCGCCGAAAAGATGTAATTTGAAAATAAAGCTGGTCATAAACTTTTGCGTCACTTGACAGGTGATGAATAACATATTGACGGATTCCGTGAGGCTAATTTGTTCTATGGAAGGAGAAAAGTGAAATAATTTACATTTAAGTGGACAAAAAAAAAAAAAAAAAAAAAAAAAAAAATCTATCTCATAAGGAGATTTATGAAACTGGATGCGGCTTTTAACTAATTTTATAATATTTTAAAAAATTAAATGTAAAAATCTATCATAATTAAGAAATAACAAATGATTGTATTAAAAATTCATTTTTCATTGAAAAATTTTTTGCTTTCAGAAAATATTGTCCATATTCATAAAAACAACTAAAAGCAAATAAAAGCATTTGAAATTAAATAATATCTTTGTTTTATTGAGTTTTGCATGTTACAATTCAGAACTGATTTTCAGGTACGTTGGCTCCAATTAAAAACAAAAAAAAACATGATTTGCATTCCTCAAAGCCCTGTGCTTTTAATTATTGTAATCACTAAAACCGATGCGATCGAATTTTCTAGCGTTTTCATAAAATTAGTTATGGGGTGGGTAATAAATATAAAAAAAAATATTTCTGCCATGACTTTAATACAAAAAAAAACATTTATAATAATTTCGATCATCTGTGAATAGGTCCTGAAAGTTTCATTAACATCCGACAATTATTTATATTTTTGCAAGATTTTCCAAATTAATGTGTGTCATACCAAAAAAAACATGCTAAAAATTGTGTATGTTATTTACTAGTTCCGCTGATACAAAGAGAAACAAGGTTTTTGTAATCAAAATTTAGAATGTTGTAAAAAGGAAAAATTTTTAAAAATAATTAAAAGAAATTTGGTCTTTCCTCTTAATAACATAAGCATTTAGACGATAAAATTTTGTTTTCGGCAAGGTTGGTGTCTTTTTCATCAAGCTATGCTCTTTTTTTAGCGATTTTGTGGAAGTACCTAACTTAAGTGCATTAATAAAATGAGACATCTTGAATCTGCATAAACGTCTTGAATAGCATTGGAAAAATTTACTCAAATTTTATGTTTCTGCTGATGTCCATGAATGAAAAGGAAAAGATTTTGAAAAGATTTCTTATTTTTCTCCTTTTCATTTTTCTTTCTCAGATTTCTGCACCTCAAGAACGATTGTATTCCACATGGATTGGGTAAGATTCATCAACACAATTAGTGATCTGCTTTTTTTACTCGCTTACACCATGCATTTCAAAACTGCCCAAAATTTGTTTGAAATTAATGTTATTAAGAATAGAAAACCATTTGCATAAAGTCTGAGAAAAGAAAAATATTTCAAAATAACTGAACATTCCAAAATTATGTAAATTCTAAAAACTGCAAGGAATTATTAGTTTTGATATGGAATGAGGAGTAAATGTCAGAATTTTAAGTTGATGAATTTAGTCAAGAGAAATTTTTAGTAAAATTTCTACATTTTTTTTCTAAATTAGTATTTTTTACAAAATGGGCCAAATTAAGTGCAAGGATTATAAGTTTTTTTTATTTTTATCTCTCTCATAGAAAAAGATTCTTATTGGTGTTTGAAGAATTTTTTTTATTATTTTTCAGTGGCTCAATTTTGGCGTCCTTGGACACTTTCAAGAAGATGTGGGTTTCAAAACGGGAATATAATGAAGAAGGAGTGAAAGCAGTTCACAGAAAAATGTTCTAATAACATAAGAAACATCCCCCCTCACACGTTTTTTTTTGCCACTGATTTTTGGAAGACAGAGTTGCTCTTTGCATGTCATGTACAATATTTTTGTGCCTCTGTATATATCATATTTATCTTTTTACCATAAGAAGATCAAAGGGTTAATTAAATTAGTGCTCGTGTATGAAACCATTCTTTATAATGCAGATCTGAACAATTTTTCAACCAATTTCATAAGGTTTCCTCTCAAATTTTTATTAAGTTTCTTTGTCATTGCTTGCTTAAGTGTCAATGTGACAAGAAAAACTTTGTTCCATTTTAAGTTCAATTAATCTTGTTAATTTCCTGTTCTAAATTAGAACAAATTCCAATAAATCGTAATTCTCTTGATCGTTGAAGACAGATCTGTTAATGAACAATCTTGAATGTTTCAAATTTACTGGTCAGCAAAAAAGCAAACTCGAAACCTTTTTTTTTTCTTCTACCAAGCAAACTTAAAAGTACCAAAATATCTTTTGCAAGATTTTCTTTTCCTGAAAGCCATTCTTACTGAGAATAAAAGTCCTTCTTAGATTTCTATTGGCTTAATCGTCTTATTAATGCTTCAGTTCTTGATTTGGGCTGAATGCTATAATCTGCTTTATTTTAAGTTTACATTTAACAGATTATTCTGAACAATTTGAATGAGTATAAATTCTTTTTTTTTTTTTTTTTTTTTTTTTTTTTTAAGGCACAGAAAGCAGTTTTTGGTCTGTAAATAAGACAGCAAAAATAACATCAGCTTAAGTTCAGATTTAATGCCTTTGGTAGTTTAGTATCTGTCCCTTCTCTCCCCATTCTCTCATTTGTATTTCATTTTTCTGTAATTATCATACAGCTGCTAAATAAACTGTGTTAAGAACATTGATCCTTGGAAACATTAACGTATTTTTTCTTTTTCATCTTGTGCATGTCTTCAATGGAATGAAATGCTTGTCAACAACACTGTGTCCTCTTTAGTCTTGTGATTATTAAGATTCACAAGCAAAACCTTTAATTTTTTATGATTGCTCAGGTTTTTATGCTAACAAATTGCAAAGATGTCATTCATTTTGTAATGACTCTGCTCATCACGCATATATGTCTCTCTTGTTTTAATGATGAAAAATATTGTTATAATCTGGCTATATCTGCCACATCACTTTTATTGGTTTGTGGAGCTTTGAATGTTAATTTTCTCACAAAAATGAAGTAAATGTTGCTTAACAAGAACAGTTTAGATTTAATTTTTTTTCCTCATTATTCCATTTTGATTATTGTATTTAAAATAAAGTGAAATTTCTTGGAAAAAAGATTGAGCTGACAAAGTTGTGTGATATTGCAAAGAGCAACAATGTTAATTCTGACTTAAATTCTGCAATATGGATTTGTTTTGCTGTAGAAGCAAGTTTATTTGAAGGACTGACATCAGGACAAATGCCAAATGAGGAATTTTGATTTTCAGGGGCCATTATTGATGTTTCTAGTTTCATTTCAGTTTTTGAGGAAATAAATGTTCTCGTCTTAACAAGCCCTTAGCTTTCCTATTTATCTTATTCCGCCCTCAAAAACAGAAGAGAGGAAAAGTAGGCAGAAAAAAATAACAAGATGAAGAAGGAAGTACACAAATATTATATTAAAACTTGTATACAAACAAATCTTGAGTTTGCAAAGAAACACTACTTAAGAAAACCAACAATGGAATTGTGTCTCACAGCCAAATTCAAGATCACCATTTTTGTAATTCAGCTCTACTGAATTAGCTACTTCTATGGACAATTTGGAAATGGCTTGGGTGATTTCCATTGGATCCAATTTGAGTTTTTATACAAATGTTGATTTGTCATATGATTGTTTTTAAAGATTTTTGTTTGTTTAGATGAGGATTCCATAAAGTGATTTTAGAAAATGAAATTATTTTAGTTGACATTTTCTTTGTTGTCCTGTATTTAATATCTTTAATCTTTGTTACATTAATTATATCCATTTTAGTTTGAATTTTTGAGACAAAATATTCTTACTATTATACAATGATTCTTTGATACCATTTTTCTCACCTTTGTTGTTTTATTCTGTTTGGCCATTTTACTCCAACCTTTGTTTTGGAAATGTTGAATGAAACTCTTTATTTAATTCACAGTGCTGTGTTGCTATCACTGTTTTATGTCAGGTCCAGTGTCTTCAGATAATTTCATATCTTGTAATCAATTCTTAATTATGAATTTAATCTGTCAAGCGAATCACTATTTATTTTGACATTATCTAGCCAAAAGACTGAACTCCTAACTTCAAGGAGACTTTTTTATCCACTCTCTGAAAAGAATGAACACTTGATATGACAGATAAACATAAAAATTACACCTGTTCATGGATTAATATAATGGTCCTGTTTGATATTTCTAAAAGGTTGAACTTGACAAACATCTATGGAAGGAGCTTATAGTTGGAATCATTTAAGCAATTTTTTTCTTCATTATTTTAATGCATTTATTTTCTAAATTGTTTCTTTAGTATTTGGTAATTGAAGGTCTTTGTTTCAATTCGTGGAATCAATTCTCTAGTACTTTTTGTAAGATTTGAAACTTTAATCTTTCTGCCATTTATCACTTGAATTGCATCCTGAAATATTCTTAGCTCTTCTTTAAGTTGCAATAAATCCTATCAGAGTTGTTTTGTTGCTGGTTCTTGCAAATATACATTTGTTTCAAGTAAAATACAATTTATGATAAAGAATTTCCTTGGAATTATGATTAACTTTCATTTTAACCTTTACTTTACAGTGTTGAATTTTGTTTGGATTCTTTGACCAGTTCTTAACAAATTGAATAATTTTTATCAGAAATTGTACAATTTTTTTCTGTAAGGCATTTGGCTTGCAGAGTAATTAAATGAAACAATTTGTAAAGGAAAATAATATCAATCAGAATCTGTGGTGATTTGAATAAAAACAACAATTTCTGCTTTATAAATGTTTTCTCTATTCAATTGGATGTAATTTCTAATATAATTTCTTGAGAAATGACTTCAGTTTTTCAGCTAAACCGAATATTGTTAAAAATGGAAAATGATTTTTGCTGAAAATTGATTTCAAAACATTGCCATATGCATTGAGGGCGTAAATATATATATATATATATATATATATATATATTTCCATGCTATTTTTCTTTTATTTAATTCATTTTTTAATATCAATTTTGACTTTTATAGGCTGAATATTTATACAGCAAAGAAATGGAAAACAGAAAATTCTTTATATATATATATATATATATATATATATATATATTTTTCACCCAAACCCCTCAGTATTTTATTTTGCAGTTGACCAATTATATTTCATGCAGAGTTACTTTCTTTTCTTTTGCGGCACTGTTAACACCTACATTTGCTTTGGCAGTTATACCTAAAATAACTAAATATTAAAACTGAAAAAATTCTTTTGCACATTTGTATGGTGGTTTATTGCTGCTTTTGTGGCTGTGACAATGAATGAAGTCTCATCTTTTTGTGCTTCAAGAAGGACATTTGAAAGGTAACAAAATTAGTTGATATACAGCAAAAAAGATTAAAGAGTAGACACCATACACTTGTGAAATATTTTTTTTTTTATAATGGAGTGGTTGTGAAAATCTTTTTTTCTTTACAATTTTAGCAAAGTGTAGTAAATTAGTGATAACTACCAGAGATACTGATTTCTACAGGCAGTGATTCTGTTTAAGACAGACCCAATTGTGGAATCAAACTGTATTCATTTTCCTCTCCATGCATTTTTCAAACCATTTATTTAAAAATAAGCCACAGAATCAGATTGAGATTTAATCAGTTCTATTTACAAAGTTCAACTACATATCACAGATTATTTTGTAAGGCTAGAATAGCAACGGTTGAAGTTCCAACAAGAATTTCTATAAATTTTCATTTAGTACTTTTCATTGTCTATCTGCATCTCTGTCTTTGTTGTCAGATATCCTATTGTCCTAGTCAATGTTTTTGTTAAAAAATGATATCAACCTACTGATGTTGGCGATATTTTCATATATTTCACCTATAAATGGGAAAATGTAAAATTAGTTTACGATAAATGGGAAAATGTAAAATTAGTTTACAAATTTTATGTATTTCTCTGTTCTCAACTCTTGATGTTTACTTAAAAGTGGTAGTGTGCTTATTTTCATGTTTTTAGCCAATGTTCTTGATATTCTGCATCATTTCTATTTATATTAACAATACTAAATTCAAATATTTTTTTTGCTTATTAGCCTTAATTTTTTTCTCAATTTTCTTTTTGTGCATTTCTTAGTTAATTTTTTTTTCTTGTTCTTGCCAATATTTTCAATTTTTTTTATGATTGTTCTGTGTTCAACTTTTTCACAATTTCCAACATTGTGTTCCTACCACTCAATAACTTTATAATATCTTGTTCCTCTTTTGAGGTTATATCTTATAATCCATGATAATCTTTATATATCTGAAATTAAAAAGTGTCAGTAACTAACATATATCAAATTTATGTGTGTGTATATATATATATATATATATATATATATATATATATATATAAATTTGATAAACAACTTTTGAGTTGCATAATAAAATCTTACATGATCAAATAAGTTATTGTGAATATTTTTAATAAAAGTGTATTTAAGCCAAAATTCACACAGTATATTTATTCTGAAAAATGTTATCAATGTCAGTTGATTGATAGCAAATACTGACTTGTACAATAAAATCTGACACTGTGCATGTGTTTCTGCTTTTTTACTTGTCTGTTTACTCATCAGTCTACCTTGATGTTTTCCTTTACCTGTCTTCATAATGATTTGCAGTTAATTTTCCATCATATCTACAATATTGACAAATCACAACAGCATCTCTTCCAACATTTTGAGTAACTATGATGTACAAGAGATGACAGAAAAACTATAAAAAATTAAAATCTCTTAAAAATTCCCTGTCTGAGAAAAAGTAAATTTTAGGATTAATTGAATAGATTT